AAAATGCTTCTGGAATTTCGTCACTTTCCCTTACATCCAAGGGTTATCGGAACAGTTGAGAAGTTGTCTGAAAAGGAAGTTCCCTCTAGTTAAGTTGGCCTTCCGAAACAGTAATAGAAAGGACTACAATCAGGCCTGGTATACAAGGTTGAGTGCAGGGACTACGGGAAGGTGTACTATGGTGAAACCAAACAATACCTAAAGAATAGAATTTATCAACATAAATACACAGTCCAAACTAATAAAAACAATGAAACTGCCTTGGCACAACATGCAGTTGTTGAAGGTCATACTTTTTTATTTGATGATGTTAATATTGTTATTTTTTTTAATTTTTTCAAATCTTCTTCTTCAACGCCTCGAGAAATTTGTCAAAAGCAATAGCCTCCTAAGTGAGTTCCAGGGCGGGTTCAGGAAAGGTTACTCAGCCATAGATAATATCTTCACATTAACCAACATTATTAATTTACACTTAAACAAAAATAAGAAAGTATATCCCTTTTTCGTGGATCTTAAGGCTGCCTTTGACTGTGTGGACAGGAATGCGCTTATACTTAAACTCAGCAACCTTGGTTTCTCAATAAAAATTCTTTCAATATTGAAATCCTTATTTAAACAATCCTGCTCTGCAGTCGTTAGGGAGGGGGGTATCTCGGGATATTTTGAGGTGCGCTCAGGGGTTAGACAGGGATGTAACTTGAGCCCTTTGTTATTCTCCCTTTTCCTCGACGATCTTCCGGATTGTCTTGAATACGGTATACGCTACGGAAATATTGAAATAAAGATTCTTTTGTACGGGGACGATATTGTGATTCTGTCAGACTCACCAGTTACCCTGCAAAAAAATATTAATGCCTTAGAGACTTACTGTAATAAATGGAATCTTTCGGTCAACCTAAACAAATCCAAAATTATGGTTTTTCGTAGGGGAGGCAGGCTTGCGGCTAATGAACGCTGGTATTTTAAGGGCTCTCGCATTGAAACAGTCAATGAGTATAAATATTTGGGCCTAATTCTCACCCCTAAACTTTCACTCAATGTTCACCTCAAGCGAAAAACACATATTGCAAAATATGCAATGAATTCAATTTGGGCTAAATTCACTTCCAATAATCTTGTCCCGGTGTGCAGCAAATATAGGCTGTTTTTGGCTGTTTGCTGCTCGATTGTGTCCTACGCTTCCCAGGATTGGGGTTTCCAGCGCTATGAAACAGTTGAATCCCTACAACGCTATTTTATCCGTAAAATTTATCACCTCCCTTCTTTCACGCCTAACTACATGATCTACCTCGAAACCTCCGTTGAACTTTTGTTTCAATTTACATTACAGTTACATACTTCCTATGTCTACAGGGTCCTAAATCTTCCTAACTACCGCCTTCCTAAGAATACAGCGCTGGAAATCATAAGATCCAAAATATCATGGTTTTCTTCCTGGAATAACTTGGCTCAACAATTTCAGCTGAATGACAATTTTTCCCTGGACAATCTCAAAGAGTGGCCACTTTTACATTCAAAATTAATTAACAATATCCGCACTTCTCACACAGTGAAATGTCTCCTCCATGCTCAGAATTCCTCTAGATTTTTGCTCTATAAGGACCTTAATATCAGTCAACCTTTCTTGAACATAGCGCAAGATTCTAAAATTCCGTCCATTCCGCTAGCTCGCTGGTTTTTCAAAATTAGGTGCGAGTTACTGTACCTCAATTATAACCCCACAAGAGTCAATAGTTCCGATAGGTGCTCTCTCTGCAACAGGCAGGCTCGAGAAGACTGTTTTCATTTTCTAGCAGAATGCCCAGTTTTAGCTGAGTTCCGAGCACGGCATATAGGCTTGCCCACGTTGACGAGAGAGCACCTAATCTCTTTATTAAATAACCCCGAGTCTTTAAATCTGGTAAAGTTTGCGATGGAAGCCTGGAACTACAGGAAAACGCTTGTTTTTTATTTCAACTATTAAATGTTTACTGTATGTATCAGAGACACCCTGGTTATTTATATGTGCATAAATAGATATATTGTTATTTTAGTTTATTTATATAGTTTTTTCTCTCTCTTTTGTTTATTCCTTAAGAAGAAATATTTTCCTTGTTTATTAAAAATGTATAGTCCGACTCCGGCAGACGGTTGATAACCATTGCCGAAATGTGCTTTTTGTTTATGTACAATTTTTTTTATTCTCTTTTGTTTATCTAATAAAGTACTTTTTCATTCATTCATTCATTCATTCATTAATATTGTTACAAAGGAATGAAATAGTAAAAAACGTAAGTTCCTAGAGGCCCTTTTCATAAAAAAAGATAAACTATCTGTTAATTACCGTCAAGACTGTGATATGATAAGTGATTGCTATTTTAATTTGTTAAACAATATAGAAAAATATTCTAGTCAATTTTAAAATCTGTGATAGTTGTGATAATAATTGTTAAAATATTGTTAATAAAATAAATAAAATTTGTTTAAAAATAGATTTATAAGAAAAATGCAATTTTAATTGTTAAGTGGTATTTTTAATGTTGATTCGTTGGTCTGTGATAAGATGTTGATAAGAACTCGAACGTCACATGAGGGGTTGTGATAAGAGTCTAGTCAGGTTCAAAATATTAAAACGTTTGTTTCTAGTCTGAATAAGTACCACACTGGCTCTTTTTTAAAATAAATTGTTCTAAAATATTATTGACTGACGACCACTTTTTTTACCATTGTAACTAGTGAAGAAACAATGATAACCATGTTGACATCAAAATGTAAAAAATATTTGTTCTGTGTACAGGCGTTAACTCACTGAGGAAGGATTCAAATAAATCCGAAACGTTGTGGATAAAAACTGGTTGTGGTTTTTTGAGATGACCTATTATCCCACTTTCAAGAAGGAAGAATCATAAGATTAACTGTTGAGGTCAAAATATAAGAAAACATCGTTAAAAAAAAAAAATTCTATAACCTACGTCCCACCAGACTGCATCTCACGACCCCCAAATAATCATCAATTAACGGGCACTAGACATTACACATATTTTTTAATATAGACACAATACAAAGCCAAAGTTTAAAGTTTTATATTTTTTATCTTAAAAGATGGAATTGAATAATTTTGTTTCAAGCATAGAAATTTCGTTCATTTTTGACCAATTTGATCCGTTCATTTTTGATGGATTTTTTTTTTTGCAGATCTTCACTGCAAATAAGACGTCTTTCCTGTACAAAGCCCCGTTTTCGCGGTCACATCGTATCATTATACGTCTCCTTAGCGGATAATTTAAACTTAGAGAAATAGAAGCTCAACTTTCGAGAGTTAAATAGGAAATACGTCCCTGGAAGGAGCACTCAAACCTCAGATTAAATTAATTGAGCGGAGACTTGGTTTCACGTACGCGCCAGTACAATAGGGAGGGAGTAAATTAAGCAAAGTTTCCTAGCAAATACTAAGTATGTTTTGAATTACGAGTAAACTTCCACTACGAATTTGCCATTGAGTCACAAGGGTAAAAACCGAAAGTTCAACACGTTAACTTCGACAATTACAATTGAGATTCTATTTGCTTAAAATAATGATTTTTCCAGATAATTTTTTACGCTTTGGTTATTAATATTTCAATTTTCATGTAATAACGTTATAATTTTTCATTCAGTTAATGTTATTCGGAAGCACTTTTGAATTTAAAAATTAATTTTGTTTGCTTATTTGTCTCTTCCCGGTAGAACAAAAGCATCCGGTAGAATTGTCGATACCACTTAAAATATTTGCACACGTACCAGAACAACGGGCTCATCAATAATGTATCGTGATGGGCCTACAGAGCGCCATTGATGTTATTACGACAATGGTTAAAGCCCCGATCAAAGGCAAAGAGAATATCTGATAATGCGGCAAACAGGGCTTGTCATTATACTCGTAGCATGGGGACCTATGCTGAGTGGCACTGTTGCTTTTACTGCCGATTTTACATTTAAGTCCTAGCTCGGTGTTAAAACTTGTTATTAAGTTATTTATTTTTTAGTTTTTGTACAGATATCACAAAATGGCTAATATTTTCAGTTTTTGGACTTATTCCTGAAACCCCTGTGGCCTTCTCTGTATTTCAGCATTTTATTTCATTTGATTTTTATTCGTGCACCTTTCTTGAGTACGGTACTTTTTTCGGTGAGGTCATAACAGAACGACAATTCTTGAAGTTTATTCCGAGCTTTCGACGATCAGGTCGTCATCATCAGGTCCTATTTATTTTAGGAAAATATCGCAGTAGGAACATGTTATTTAATTTAAAAATCAAAATCACAATTTATTCTAATTGCAATATTTTCCTAAAATATAAAGGTCCTGATGATGACGATATAATTTTCGAAAGCTCGCCATAAACTTAAAGAATTGTCGTTCTGTTGTGACCTCACTGAAGATCTTTTTTCCAAGTTGTTCAACAGCAGTTAGATACATCATATCATCTTTAACGGTACTTCTTGTTTTTAAATAAGTTTCTGCATGGAGCGTAAAAAATGAGCATTAACTGGACATTCGATGTGATGCTAAATTTTATGTGGGAGGTTTATGTGCCGACAAACCTGGGTCAATCTAACAATCTAACGACAAATACATTTTCCTGCAATCTTACCTCATCCGACAATGTAAATTCTAACATTTTCTTTAAAAAAATCTTTATCACCGAGGATACCCAAAGTGACAGGAATTCTGCATTTTTCTTCCTCTAGATTTACATATCTGTGCAACTTGACCAGGCTATTGTAAGTGCCTTGATTTACGACAGAAAGAATTGTTTTGTATACATGAGAGCTTGAGGTTGGTAGGAAGTAATATAGTAATAGTATAATAATATTTTAAAAAACTGAAAAATTGTTTGTGTCAAATAAATTACTGATCTATATTAGTTTCTAATAAAACCAGGGAATACTCGTTAAAGCGAAAACTTTTCATCGTTCGTTGTGAACATTACATTGCAGAGATTGGAAGTTCATTTTTGTTAAATCGCCATCAATTAGAAACGGGAGAGCGTGTGCGCAGTCCCGACTACCAAAAATACGCGCCCGAGATATCCGCATTTGGGATATTCGCAGAGGTATCGCAAGCCCCTGCTGTTCTTACTTCTTTCTCTTGTCTTTCATTTCAAGATCATTTTTTTAAACTGCAGCCATTTGAGTGTCCGGTTACTGATTATCTGGTTCTATATGCTACGTCTATATACTAAAATGGTGGCATGTAGTATGAAACTTAGGTTATCAAGTGCCAAATAGGAACGAAAACATAAATATGAATATGGACAGAGGTGCGCATCCTAAAACCCGTCGGAGAACCGCGGCCGAAGTATTTCCATCACGTTAGTCGAAACCAGAGTGGCACCCCTCGGCAAGGGGACGAGAAGCGGATCACCAAGCCCACTCAGGTACCACACAGACGGCAGCAAAATAAATGCCCTGGTAGGTTGCAGCAGCGTTTTTGTGAGAGAAATGGGATTACACCACAATTATGCCTGCAATTCAAATTAGCCTATTGGTGTTTAATAACCAGGCTGAGATGCTAGTAATCTATGTAAGGTAAAAAAGTAAGGTAAGAAATCAGATAATTTTTTAACTATTTGAACTATTATTACGTATAATAATTATTAACCCGTATATGCCCACCATTTTTTTGAGGAATTTCGAAATTATCTTTTAGGTAGCTTTTCTATTTCACCCATTTTAACAATAAAAAATGTTTAAAAAATATAGCTAGGCATTTAGTATGCAAAGTAGGGTGTTGCGAAAACGCAAAACCGGTCACTTGAGGAGTCTCCTTATTACCTTTATCTTATACATATGTATGAAATTAGGATTATATTCGAAATATAGGTAAATTAAAATCATCATGAATCGTAATAACTTTATAATTATATATACAGGGTGAGTCATTTTTTGACGCACCATTGGAAAATCAACGCGGGTGCGTTTAAATTTGACTCGAGGCTTATTCCTTTGATTAATACGTTAATAAAAGAAAGTGAGTCAATTTTCGGTGCACCATAGGAAAATCTAGGTTGGTCCGTCTAATTATATGACTCGGCACATTTTATTTTGTTATTCTCGTACCAAAAAATAGGACAGCCACTTTTGGACGCACCATTCGTTACAAACTAGTTTTAGAAGGTAGGAAGGAAAATAAACAAAACCAATATTATTAAAACATTATTAAAAAACAATGTAAAAATTAGAAAAAAAATTCTTCAGAAATTAATCTGATTAATGTTTAAGAGTGTTTTTTTCGTCCGATCATCGTTTTACGATACACTAGGCTTCTGTGTTGCAGCAAATGGAGTTCTGTTCGAACAATTATTATAATGATTTTGAACATTTTTGATTTGCTAACAAAGGAGATTCTTACATTTATTTAATTTTTTTTTTACTTTACCGGAAAAAAGGCGATTGTTATATTTATTTAATTTTTTTACTTTACCAGAAAAAAATACTCCCGGGATCCCCGTGGGGTGCCGTACACAAATCTTACGCAACAATTCATAATACGCTTCAATCGTGCGTTCTGCCCCTCCGAGAGACCACCGTATGCCAAACAGCTATAATCGAAGGAGGGAAGATACAAGGAGTTTGAGGGTGGAGAAAGGTAACAGATGCCAGGACCGACGAAACAGACTGAGGGAGGCAATGGAATGGCGGGAAATTTGGGAAATGTGAGAATGCCAGGAAAGGGTTTGGTCAAAGAGACTCCTAGGTTTTTAACCGAAGAGCAGAAGGGGATGGGATGGTTATTTAGCATGAGAGGTGGGATGCTGGGGAGGGAATTGAGGAGTTGCCTGCACCCGATAATTATGGCGGTGGATTTGGACGGATTGAGGACAAGGGAATTTTTATGTGTCCATTCGTTGATGGAGTGTAGGTCTTTTTGGATCTTGAGAGTGGCCGAATGAAGATCGGAAGGGTGGAAGGATATGTATATTTGGGAGTCATCGGCATATAGGTGATAGTTAGAGGACAGGATGGAGTAGGGCTGATCATTGATATAAATGGAAAAAAAGATAGGAGAGATGCTAGAGCCTTGGGGCACCCCAGAGTTTAGAGGGAGGAAGGAGGAGGTAAGGCCATTGGGAAGGGAGACAGCTTGGTGGTGATTGGTAGGGTAGGAGTGGAACCAACGGATGGTGCTGGCGGAGAAGGAAAAAGATTCGAGTTTAGAGAGGAGAGAAGAAGAATTGAGGGGGTTATAAGACACTGAGATTAGATAAGATAATATAATAAACTGTGAAAAGATAAGATAAAAATTATATAATAATATAAGAAAAGGGTAGTGAAAAATGGGAAAAATAAAAATAAATAAATCTCAAAGGAAGAGAAAATATAAGTTAGTATAAGTGACCGGAGTTGCGAAAACGCAACACTGATATTAGACGCCAAATATCCATCATTAGACTTTTTTTTTTAATTTTGCACACGCTTGTTTTCAACAGTATAAAGAAAAACCATAATAACTTACAATTAATTAAGGTTTTTTTTAGTTGAGATAAAAAAGTCAATGGCACGAGCAGGATTCGAACCCACGATCTTCGGCTTGATACGACGCTGCTCTACCACTTGAGCTATCGTGACCTCGATCCACTCGGACACTAACTTCCCATCTCAACCCCTCAACCTTTTGAGTTTTCCCTCCTTTTTGCCATTTTAGCTCAAGTGGTAGACCAGCGGCGTATCAAGCCGAAGATCGTGGGTTCGAATCCCGCTCGTGCCATTGACTTTTTTGTCACAACTAAAAAAAACCTTAATTAATTGTAATATATTAATTTGTCAAGCGGACCACGAAATTAGTGAATTTAACCAAAATAACGTTGCATGTAAAAAATAAGTAATATTGTAATAGAAAAACTTACTTTTCTTGAGACATTTCTCATTCAAGAACGTTCAATTTGGAAAAGCAAATGAGTCATATTTCGTTTGAGTACATCCCGCCCTCAGGGTAAAGCTAAAAATAGAACCCGAAATAACATTTAATGGAAAGAAAAAGAAAATTCTATTTTAAAAAATGGTACGTTGCGTATTCGCAACACTGGGCATATACTGGTTAATTATTATTGTAAGCACTTTGCTCAATACATTAAACGTGTACTGAGTTAACTTGTGAATTATGACCGAGATGATCAAGTTTATAACAACTAGTCCTAAAGCGGAAAAATAATAAAATCCCTTTTCCAGATAGGGAGACATCACGTCGGTAGTAATTTTGTGAGTTAATCAGGAGATATTGCGACTTGGAGATAGTGATTCTACGTGACGGAAACCTAGGCAGATTAGACGAAATTCGGGACGATTATCTACTTCAGTAAATCCACCTTGACCCCATCACCGCCGCCCGTTGCCCACGATAAAATGTATTCCGCCTACTGCGAAAATGAACCTCGTGAAAAGTTAATAACCGCTTGTTCGACCGAGTCGTGATTTATTCATATTAGCCTATAGATGCCCCTGGATGATAGAGTATTATTTACACGCTCTCGTACCATTTATCGCCCTTACCATTAATAAAAATTTTCAATTTGCAAACCGAAAAGCAATTACGTACGGCGCATATCGTGACTAAAACACTATAATTCACCTTGTATATTTATAAAGTGTAATAATTAATTATTTTAACATTAATTTAATATCGTTCTTTTTAAATCTTTTTTACACAATAAGATTCCAGTTTTTTTTGCAACTGGATAGATTTAGCTTTAACCATAAAACGTTTGGCAAAAAAGTCAATATCGTTCAACCCTGGAATTATTTAAAGTGCCGGACTTATCTTTAAAACAGGATATGTCAATATTATATCTAGAGAGAAACCACTAAATAACAATAAACTCGAAGTTTTGAGGAAATTTGTTTTCAAAGGAATTTGTTCTGGCTATTGACAAACGGTTTCTAACTCGAAATATATATAGACGGGTTGAAAAGATGGCAATTGAATAAAATATCAGAGGGTTCATGTTTGTCTCTTTTAAATGGTTTTTATAAAATAACATATATTTTATTAAAATAACGCCACGAATAAAACTTTAAATGAATTTCTTTAGGTTTTTATTCAAATGATTCCTGAAATCATGTACTACGAGAAATAAGCAAAATCGTGGTGCTTTTAAAAGGTGAAAACTTGGCATGAAATAAAATGAAATAAAGTAAAAAAAAAGTAAATAAAATAATTTTTTTTAACTTTTTAATTGGCATGTGACAAAAACAAAACTTTTCAAGGCTATAAAGGTCCTTGCTATACACAATTAATAGGTTTTGTTTGATAGCTTTACTCTCATTCTTGAAATTAAAACAAATATTTTTCATTTAGACACTATCCTATTACTCTTTTTTCTCTTTCTTTTTTATTATTATATTTTCTCTTGTATACATCTTTTTACCTTCTCCCATTCTTTTATACATCTTTGTTATTTTCTATCTAACTCGCTTTCTCCTTCTCTCTAATTCTCTCTCCCTTTCAATTCAGTTTTCCATTTATCTCTCTTGTTTCTGTTTGTTTTCTTATTTTTATATTATTTTCTAGTTCTAGATTTATTTCTATCATCTCTCAGTGTTGCCCTCACAGTATGTCTCTTTTGTTTTATTATATGAATTCATGAAACAAGTATTAGCGCAAAGGACCACACACTTTCTATCTTTCTCTCGCTAAGCCTCAATTTTTTCTTTCTTTCACTCGAGTTTCTCAAATAAAACGTTATTCATCCATCGATTCTTATCTTTCTTTTTCTTTCTAATTTACATTCCCTATCTCACAACCACAACTTATCTTTTCTCTAGTACTGTCAAAGTTATTTTACATATGTTATAATTTTAAACTTCTAACAACAGTCATAGTCTTCTAATCCTTCTTTTCTGTCTTGTTTTCTCTTTTTTTAAATTTTCATTTCCTTTCTTTTTTCTTATGTCGCTTTTTCCCTGATTTTAGCTTAGTATCACACAAAATTCCACACATATATCATTCTATTCCTCACTCACTATTTCTCCATCTTTCTCTTTTTTACAGAATACTCTTCATTGTATTTTACCTGTTATTTTTTTCTCAAAAATATTTTCTTGATAGTATTGTTTGTTTGTTTTTTATTATGTTTTATTACACGTTCCGTTTGTAAATAATAATGTTAGTTATTAAAGTATAATTTACCTTATAGAGGCT